CCAATGTGTATTCATCCCTAACCCTAACCCTAATTGCAACCCTAACCCATATTCACCATAGGGTGAATAACTCCGCGCTGCTTGCTCGAAACATGCTGAAATTCGGCGTGGTTGCGTGGCAGGCTACCCTTTATTAATCATGAAATGCCCAAGTCTCTATGACTTTCAGAAAAAAAGTTATTCAAAAATATCTTGTAACTAATCTGTGCTTTTTTTTAACACATCACATTTTCTTTTTTAACACCTCACATCACCACAATCGTGCCTGAAGGAGGCAAAAAAACATGATTTTTAGGTGATTATACACTGATGAAACATAAATGAAACCTCAACATTGGTCCTTTAAGATTTCCTTTACCTGACCAGATTGTTTAAATGTATAACTGGGATGGTCTGAGAACAGTGTCACCTCTCTTCAATCACTCATTTTTTGACCACGTCCACTTTGTGCTTTCTGAACTGCCTCTCTAAACTGCCACTGCTTTCTCTCTATGAACTGGTCTACTTGGCCTCAGATTCTACCATCTGCCCAACTACTGTCATGGTGTGAGGCTCCTACGCTGCAGTGATCTGATTCACAGTGAGAGAACACGCTACGCCGGTTGGATGCCATCTAATTGCTTTGAATTCCATGAACTTTGCACCTGTAGGGTAAAACTTGCTAAATAGTGGAATATATAATTGAGGCTATTTTGTCTATGTTGCATTGCAGCATTGTCTTGAGTTTTGCATGAAATGACCTTGTTTTGTTCCTGCTTGCATTAATGTTGGTCCAGGTTTTGTTTAAAAATGTGCTGTGGTGCCTTAGTAAATATAATTCATTACTTCACGATACATCACTAGAGGTCTCCAGTGTATTAGGTATTTGCACATGTTGCTGCTGCACCACTAAACACCAGCAGCTGCAGCTGGTGGGATAATGCAGATCAATTGAATAAATTTGAGCAATGTTCAGTTCTCTAGGAAACCATCCAAATAAAACACTGCGTATATACCTGAGAGAGATGGCTGTAATATTTCTAACATAAACAGACTGAAATTTTAGGTCATTATAGAAACATGAATTTATCCGCAGCCTATTCTATCATTTTAATTAAAAGGGAACTTTGTTGATTTTCAACCCATTTTGAATCATTACAGATCTTTTGTTGTCTAAAGTTTTCCTGCCAGCTCCCTGGCTGTTGCTACAACTTCAACATACACTTCTGCATTTTTTGGGTGCCCACCAGTTTGAATTTAAACCAACGCCAGTGGGGAGAAATGGACTTTGGAAGCTCAAAAGCAACAGTGCTCTGTTACTTACAGCAAAGCCACATTGTGAAAATATACACATTTCTATATTCCCCAATCAAGACTAGCTTTGCACATACACTGCCCATTGGTTACCCAGCATGTAAGAGTTTAGCTTATAAGTGCGACAAGACTTTAGCCGAAAGTTATTATCTCTGACTGGCTCTTTGTTGAAGTAGCACAGGTGATAGAAAGGAACACCACAGTGTTCTCTGGGTCCTGTTGCACCAAATTTGATTATTTTTCCACCTTTCTTACTGCATAGATACTCAAGTGTTATTAGAAGGTCATTCTCCCAACATTTAATTATTCCTTTAACTTGAATGCATGGCTGGTGTTTGCGAGCCAACTAAGCCAGTAGACTGATTTATCAAAGCAACCAGCAATAATACTAACAATGTCTCACAAAGTAATGTACCCAATAACATCAGCTTAAAAAAGACGGCATTGACTTGTGCAGAATTCAGATTTGTGTTCCTGACGGTGTCAGCTTAAGAGTAGGAGAGAAATTCACCTACTCAATTGAATTCTGCTCGGACAAATTGGAAATCGTATAATACCACTCAGGCTCTTACAGCCAGTGTTACTCATGGAGCTGGAGCTTCAGGAGACCTCAAGACTGGCTGCAACAGGATGGATAATGTTCCTTCAAAGCACTACAAAACCCATGCACCTCTGTGCTCGCTCTTTTTTACAACGCATCCAGAATTTGTACATAACTTTCTACTTACGATCATGTTCTCCAGGGCACCTTTGGCAAGCCAGCAATTAAGAAATACAGGGACGAATATGTCTCTCAATGGAGGCCAGAAAATCTTGAATAAGACAGGAAGGAATGAAACAAGAGAAATGAAAACTTATCGGTGAAACAAAATCAGTTAAAAAACATGGCATACAATAGGAAATCTTTAAGTTCGATACAGATAATTCTTTTAATTAGCTGTATGGCAAAAAGATCTGGTCTGAAATATGGTACAAAATGCATCAGAGCTTTAACCTTATTAAATTGTTCTCAAAGAATCCAATCAGAAAATAATCTGGAGCCTAAAAGAAATGAACTTGTCCTGCGGTTAATACTTACGGTGATTATGAATGGCACTGTATTGATCATCTCCAATATGAAGCATATCTGGAAGATCTGCTCCCAAATGTTCCCCTGGAAATGAAAGTGATGGAAAGCAATTCAGTGAATTGATGTAATTGCAGTAAAGATGACAGATGGAGGTGATCAGCTCCGAAACAACAGCAGATTCAAATGGTGTGAACTGTGATGGATATTAAAACTTCATGGCTGAGCAAAATAAACATCATACAATCTATATTTCCAGTTATTGATGCTTCAAGCTTCAATGGAGAGGTGATTAGGGTTAGGTAAAAAAACAACACTCCTCTGTAAGCTGTTGCGTTTGTTTGAGGAGTATATTAGCTACTGTAGTTATCTCTCTAAAGCACACCTGCCTTCTTCCTGGTTTTATGAGTTTTTGAAACCATTACCTGCTCAAGCTTTAAAAGGTCTTATATAAAAAAAATTCATTAGTATCCACAGGCATGCTTATTATTAATTTAATATTAGCCTGGGAAAGAGGGAAAGCAATTTTCAAACAGATTAAATTTACTTTAAAATTGTCCGTATACTTTGTGGCCACCGGCAAAACATAGATTCTATCAATGATATTCTATTATCTGGCCCTTTGGGGATAAACAGTGAAGCTAATTCCACATTCACTGAGATCTAACTGCAAATTGAAACCGCAGCTGAAATGACAAGGTGGCCTTAAGACTGGGACTCTCCATCTAAGATAGAAATTTAAAAAAACCTCTGAGGAAAAGAAAAAAAAACATATCCGGACATAACAAGATGAACAATATTTTGTATTTAATCAAAACCTTACTATATTTTAAAAGATTGGCAACGATGAAGGAGCTGTAATCTGAAGAGTAACAAGAGACATCTAACATTTATTGTTATTGGTTCTATCTGCACTACATTTCTATGTATCTTAACTTGTAGGCCAATAATTTATAGTCCATCTGGTAAAACTGTGTATTTCCCATATAAAGGGGCAAAGATCACTGTCAGAGGAGAAATGTCACAGTGTAACTGACCCTTGCTATTTGTGTGAACTTTCAATACTCATCATTAACATGATTCACCCTTTAACTTCATATAAACTCCACACAGAGGATGATGAAACACAGACTTCATCTCCAGCTATATGATCCTCTTTAAAAAAACAAGTGTCTGTGACACACAAAATTACAGCAGACACTCTTGGCCGAATGCTTTTGATCGGTCCTTGGCACCGGCACTTGGACTGGACATTGAAAGCTGTCAGCTCACGAGAGAGCATAAAACAGGACATTGATCAGAGAGCTGCAAGACATCAGCATGGATTAAAGAGGGAAACTGCACCGTGAGCCTGTTTCTTACCTTGTAGCTGAGATATGTGATAAGCATGGTCTCCAAGAAACCGATTAAGGCCACTGTCACCTGGAGCAGAGAGGGGGGACATGGAGATAAATGAGCTGAGCAAATGCAAACTCATCTCTTCTTGCTTCTAAACCTTCACACAGGAACTCATGTGCTCTGCAATTCTTTTTATCTAATAAATGGGTTCTGGTGTGAATTCTTCATTGAAATTCAGTTGCTGCACAGTGAATTTTGATTTATGTTCACTTTAACTGGCGCGTTATTATTCTCACCTGTATCGCCCAAACAGAATCACGTCTGTCCACCCAGAAAATCAGATTCCTGTCAAAAACCACGAGGGAAAAAAAGGATTTTGTCACAGTTCAGTACTCTCCATTTAATTGCATCATAGAAAATATTAAAACACTTCACGTTACAAATAAATGCAGTTTTAACTGAAACGTACCAATCGATTTCTTGTGACTCTGTTGTATTTGTCAAACTGCTGTTGCGACACATTGCATTGCTGAAAAAAGCAACAAAGGGAAAAACACAAGGAGCATGAGCTGGTAGGCTGCCATCAAGAACAAACCTCAATGTGTTTCTGAAAGCTGCTGGCAGTAAACACAACACTGACAGTCTACAACTTCAACATGACTGCACAGAAGGAGCCACTTCACGTGTTTTTACTCACTGTATATGTTTTAGATGCAGAAAATAAATATAAGAGAAAATATAATTCCTAAACATTGTTTATATTTATATATAGGGTTGAGTTTTAGACATATTTCTCAGTGAGATTACCCTGAATCTAAAAATCCAAACTATTTCCATATAAATACATTTTTCTCTCCACTGCTGATATCTTTCATATTGGCCATTTTATCTGCATGTCAATGAGTTTTTTTCCCCAGAAAGATCCTCTGGCATAAACCAGGTTATCTGGTTGGTTTGGATTTTCAGTCTATTTTAATTTTTATCTCAAATGCATTGAGGCAGAGACCTCATTTACAATATGGCCCAAAAAATAAACAAAACATTCTAAGACACAAAGAAAACACAAATATGAAACTTGGCAAATAGCAAAAACAAGAACAAAGGTAAAAACCCTTGGGGATAATTATAGCACCTAAATGTAATTGAAAGGAAATGGATAAATTAAAACAAATGAATCAACCAATACAAGAACAGCTGGAGGTAAAACAAGGTGAGAATTAATGAAATAATAGGATAAGAAAATAAACATGCATTAAAAATTATAAGATGACAGCAAAAAGAACCGTTTCTAAACAGCATCTCTCACCATGGGTTACCGTTGGCATTGAGGTCATCCAGGGTCACTCTCACTATGTACAGGACACAGGTGAGAATCTTCAGAGAGAAGTTGAACAGGCGAATTCTCAGGCCTACGGATCAACAACAGCAGCAGCAGCAACTTACAAACTGGAAAACGACAATCACATGGATTTGGGTTTGTTTAAATCGCTGATATTGGTTCTGCACGTACTGTCACAAACTTTTTCGGTAATGCGTTCCCTTACATACGTGACTGTAAGTCTGCCTTATCATTCCTCATTGGAAGGTGATGCTGCCTGAACTGTTGTTTCGGTGCATTAAAACCTCCTAAAGTGACTATATCTGTCAGAGCTGTGGAGCATGACTAACACAGCTCTGTGCTGCTCTGGCACCCTGTCACAACTGATTTCCCCTGACGCTCAGCTTTCAAATCCTCGGAGAATAACACAAAATAACACCAGCACTTTTGCAGGCTTGTAAACTCAAAAAAGAGCAGGATGAATGACAGGTGGAAATTTCATTACACAAATATAACAGTGATTGAGGAATCTTCTGTTTAAGTAATTGCAGCGAAATGCTGATAAGCACACAACCAAATATGCAGAGAAAAAACTTGGCTACAAACATGCTCACTAGCCAGAGGGTGGTGCAAGCTGTAGTTCCAATCTGCCTCAGCAGCTACATAATCTCTTGTGGCGTGACCTCTTCTGAGGAAGCCAGCCTTAATGTTAAAATGATTTGAAACGGGATAAACACAAACAATGGAGTAGAGCAACAGAGGCTTGCAGCCACGAGTGACATTTCATTAGAGTCTGTTGCTCTGTGTTACAGACTGTTCCCCCGTTAGTGACTTTGACAAGCAGAGCCAGTCACATCAGCTCAGTGTCAAGGATATGTCGACGAAATGTTTTTGTCAAGAGACTCAAAGTTCCCAAAAAGGACATTTTCACAAGTACATGCAAAAAGAGAAGGTTTCCCCATACAAGGCACCAAACTGCAGAGCTGCACCAGTGTCGCCTTCTAAAATGTGGCATTGCCAGTCTTATCTCCTAAAGAGAAAAACACTGCAGCCCGGCTGCTTCTCTCAACAAATGAGCCGTTCTCTTCAGTCCGTGCTGGGCCACAGTGTGCACACCCAAGTATTCATTTACAATGAAGCATATAATGTAATAATGAAAACACCAACTGAGACAGAAATTGAATATATATGACTACCTGCAATTTCCTACCTACATTATGCTTTTATGTCTTTATCAATCTCTAAACACATCGCTGGCAGCACGAGAGGAGGAGGATGGTGTGATGGCCCGTCAGCTGTACTTACTTGACCTTTGGTTTTTGATGAAGAAAAGCTTCAGCCTCTCCTTGAAGGTGTTTTCATTCACATAGAACTCCACCTGCACCCTGTGGGGGAACAGTGACACAATGTGAACAGATGGTTGTGCAGAAACACTCATTCAGGGGCCCCGGCCACAACTCATTCAAACACTGCACTGCAAATATACTGTAAGACAAAGTAGTCTGTTTGCAATATTAATATTTGATATTTAAGCGTGTGTGCAAACAGAGCATGGTGTGACTAGGACTCATGTCCTGTCACCTCTTCACACTCGAACCCAGGTTAGGTAAAACAGTTGGCAACTGATGTGTGTCGACGCCGCAAAGCGCTGTGTGCTTATCCTCATGATGCAAATAAGGTCAACACATTCTATGCGTCTTAAAGGTACAGTTTGTAGAATTTAGTGATATCTAGTGTTGAAGTTGCATGTTGCAGCTGAACACCCCTCACCTCACCCTCTCCTTCCAAACATGAAAAAGAACCTCAGTTGTTATAAAAACTCAAAAGGTGTTTAGTTTGTCCAGTCTGGGCTACTATAAAAAATCATGGCGGCCTCAGTAGAGAGGGTCCCTTCAATGTAAATATAAAGTATTTTAATATAATCGTCTTAATCTGGGTATCATTTGAAATCCTGATACCGGTGTACTGACGTCACAGTCAGTACAGTATTGAGGACACACTCTTGCTTCGTGTTTCTGTAAATCTATTCCTCCTATATCCTGCTGACAAAAAAACTTGTCGGAAATGTTAACTGTGCATTTGTCATAATTGTGTTTGCTGAGGGTTCCTAGTCTGCTTAAAGGAAAAGTAGCTCAGGAAACAGCTCTGTAAGTCTTTCTTCTAACTAATCCTGTTACCCTCCATTTACCGTCAGTCACAATGCAACGGTCTCAGCCTCAAATGCATGAGCTCGATGTGCAGCGCTGGTACTTGTTCAATTATGCAGAATATTACATAAATCTAGACCTACTTTTTCCACACACTCACATTCATTTAGTGTTGCACTAGGGGTGATGATAAAAGACATGATATAATGACTTTAAGACGGGTTAAGGGGTTTTTTAATTGCTCTACTAGGAAATGAATCCAAATTGGTAAATCTGGGCATAACACAGCCACAAGGGAGGGGGCTGATAATTTCAAATTGAATCATTAATGTGCACATTACGTCTGAACCTCATGATCTGACATGCTATATAAATACAAGCCACAATTTATTCCATAGAAATAAGGGAGAACATGCACTTACACACAGCTGTCCATTTATAATTGATGATTGTCAATTAAAAACTACAGTACTTCAAATGTAACTAGCGATGCCTTTTCACCAGTGACACACACACTGTGACAAATCCAAGGCTATCAAACTTTAGAGCAGTCATAATGGACTTTAATAGCCTTGGAGGGCTGACCTGGCGATCACTGTAAGTACAAATGAATGATGTAGCTACTGTAAGTGCGCTAGACAAATACAGGTGGCGAGAGGGGCCTATTAATGGCTTCTGTACTGTAGAGCCTCTTGCTAATGACCATGGAGGAAAAGTAATGTCCTCACAGTTGGAGGAGGGACCCTCTGCGTTCTCTTTGTCTGACAAGATGAATATAGGGTGAAAGGGGAGGAGAGAGCAGGAAGGCAATTACAGCGGCCGTCTCCTAAGGGATGTATGTATATATGTGGATGTGTGGGTAAAGTGTGTAGGTGGAACAAAGAACACGAAACAGACATCATCTGCCAAACGTTCTCCTCTCCCCCTATTCCGGCTTTATCACCACGGAGACAGCTTCAGAGGCAGGAAATGTTCAGTCACGTGTTTCTGTGTTATGTGTTTCCAGAATAACATGATGTTCTTCTCCATAGGAACCAATCACACACTCCCAGCCCTGTGACACCAACCTAACCAAACACACATGGCTAAATGACAAACACATAAACCAAGTGTAATTGCCTGCTCGATCATTCGAGAAGCAGCAATACGCCGCTTTCAAAATAATGATGGTGAATCAAAAGATCGCTAATGCACATTCATATTCACTGACAGAGCCGTAAACTGAAGTTACAGATGTGTGTACTTAATAAAGGAAACTTTATTAAGTACACACACAGCAAAAGCTAAATTGTGAATCAAATAATTGATAGCTATGATGTAAAACAGTGAGTGAGCCATGTGTGTTTCATGTCTTATAATATTTTGATGACAGACGTTCCCGGCTTATCTGAATGTGAGATGAAGCACATGCAGTGAAGTCTGAAGTATATTAAGTGACAGAGAGACATTTCTTGTGATGTTGGCTCTGCGCTCCGTCACAATTTATTTAAGTGAAAAAATGCCACCGTTGTTGCAAATTGAACCCGTTTCTCAAAATACAGTTTACAAGACACAATTTATTGTCATCAAGCAACTTTTCTGAAAGTACTGTAGTGATGCTGACGTCTCTCCACCACTTTGTCTCCCTGAACTGTCCTCGTAACTACTGGATATATTGCTGTGAAATCTGTTAGAGACACTGATGTACCAGAGAGGATCAATCCTGAAGACTTTTGTGCCACCCGGCTTTTCTGTTTACTATTAATAAAAAAACTTTCCAATGGTTCACTATTATGGTTGCGAGTGAAATGTTTCAACATCTATCTGGTAAAATAAAAAATTGGATCAATTCATCAATTGTTATAACTTTGGTTTAACAAGCTAATAAGAAAGGGCTTAGAGTTACTATCATGAACGCTATGATATGAATGAAATAATCTATTTTGGGGCCAGAAAACTGATCCACACATGAAAAAAAAGATCATAAACTCTGCTTCACTCGTTCTTCCCTCATCAGTAGATTACACCAAACTGCAATATGGACAAGGTCAGAGTGAATCTCTTTTCAGAATAATAATTTCTTGTAAGAACATTTGGCAATTCAAATATATCTCGAACACTACAAGACTGTTATCTTGTAAGTCAAGTGAACAAAGATCCTTGTGAGTTATAAAAAATAATCCAGATATCTTCATAATCAACCTCAATAATACAAATTAAGAGGTTAGATAAAGTCACCATATATAGTGTTTGATTTCTGATTCTCGAACGCCCTGAAAGTTGCAAACAAATGCAATAGTTCCACAGCAATTAAATTTCAAATGTTGAGTACAGAGCAAAAAAAAAAGTTAATGTTCTCTAACGGACAATATTGTAGGCAAATAAAGTCACTGATGCACGATTATTATTTTGTAAGTTAATTAATAAGTACAAGAGGGTGAGGGATGGCATGAATCTCTATCAGGTACTGTGCTACCAACTAAGACTAGAAAAAAAACTTTTCCACACTTGACTTCCAGTGAATGCAGCCCAACAACAATACCTTATAAGTGCTCACGCTCTTTTCTCAGTCATCTCCATAGTCTGCAAACCCTCACCACCAAGCTATGTACATGAACTAAAATATAAACACAGGCAGTTTAAATAACAATGAGCCAGACAGAGTCTACACCAGCCTGGTACTTTAAAGAAGTGTCTCTTCCTTACGTTCACAGATTGTAGGTAGTAGTACACATAATACATGCATCAAATAACCTTATGCCTTCAGCTAACAAGTGTACATGGTATGAAGAGCCTTGTATGTAGCAGCCATTCAGAACATGTAAAGTGAAAGTAACAGAAAAGTGCAACCCAAGAGAAAGACTGGGTGTGAGGGACCCGTGATGAAGCGTTCAGTAGAGGTACTGAGCAATGACAACTGCTTTGTAGACTCAGTAAATAATTATCAAAGAGCTTTGTGACCTCGGGACAATCTGACAGAGCAGAGTCTGCGTTCATTCTTGTGCTGGAAAAAAAATTATATTGTGAAACAGCCAGCAGATGCTCTGTGCCATATGGGCTACTTGTTGCAGGGATGAACAGCAGTATGAGATGCTCGTTGAAGCTGTGGGAGGAAAGTACAGCTACTGTCCATTTCTAAGTCTTCAACAAATGCAGAGACAAAAAAAAAAAGCGTCCTTACCGATAAAGGATCTAACGGGTGGATCCCTCTCGGGCCAACCTAACCCACGATCACTTGTGTGCCGGTAATCAGGCTAACGAACTAAACACTGAAACGCAGTTAGCCTGGATGTTCAATGATGCTAACAATGGAACTGTAACTGTAACTGCAGGACAAATTCTGTGTGGACCAAACCATCTCATTTTAGTTGTTTGTGGTTTATAGAAGTAGCCTCTGAATACCTGGATCACAGCACTGTGACATTTGCGAAGCGACAAAGTGGAAATTATCAACCCAACTGTCTTTGATTTAGGCTGCATGAGCTAAACATGTTGCATCATGATTTTTAATAAGGTCTTAGGGGCACTCAAAACAGCACAGAGCAACAATACCACATGTCTAATAAACAGTTTCACAGCAGTCTTTGAAATTGAGAGCCTAACTACAGTTTTTATTATTGTTTTCTGATCTCACATTCATGCTCCCCTCTGACCAAGCAAACGGTTCAAAATAGAAACTTTCCTTTGCACCAACCTCAGACGTGTGCCTGATATAAAAGCTGCAGGGATTCTAAAAATATTACACTTGCACATGAATATTCAAGAGCTGTGGCAGATTTTTTTCCCCTGCTTCTGTTTCACTCTGCTTTTCCCATAGCAAAGGTCCTCCTCGTCCAATAAAGTCATTACATTAGAGAAATAGTCAAATGGGCTTCAATCATGACACGGGCAGTGGTCAAAGTGATTTGTCAAATGAATAGTGAAGCCAGAAACCTCAAGAGGAAACTGGAAGAGTTTGTATTACAATGAGCTGAGGGGAACATAACCATCTTAATGGAAGAGAGGTGGCCAGTAGGCAACAGGATCCTGGTCTCGCTCCAGGTCCTGTGAGAAAACACCAACGGAGAGTGAAAGTGCACTCCAGAATATTTTATAGTTTTTGCTTTGAATCAGCATTTGAAAGATGCTATTTTTAAAGCAAATGTCACAAGGTCTGTCAAGATGTCCAGACGATAGCCTGTATACAAAGATAGATGATGCATCCCACTTCCTCCCACTATCCAGAGATGAAGCTAAAATATCCCAGATTTGAACATCGCCATCTCAAAAACTGAACAAAAATAGATTTCCATGATACATGGATAAACACATTAAATATTAGCACTGATCTGGATAAAGGGACAAATCCTGTATTTTCTATTTCATTGTGAGAAATATATTTAGGGGACTTTACTGAGTGCTATTCTAGTTGAATCTGTGATTCAATAATAAACAGAACAACAAAACTGGAAAATTGGAATAATCTTTTTTAATACAACCTGCGACCTACCTAGTGCAGCTACTCAGGGATTTGTCATCATCAAGCTCCTCCATATTGAGTGGATCCAGTCAAGATGCTGAACATGCAAATGTTGCTTGATCTGATCTTTCATTTCACAAATTTTTGATGGTTTCCTGCATGTGCAACGAGCAACTTTGTGTTTGTGGAACTGAAACCTGATATTTCCTTTGATGCTTCCTGATAGCGCTAACTTAACCGCAACCTAGAGATGATGACTATGAAGCAACACAGAATTCGATGTCTTCCTCTAAATGTATGGACTTTCCTGCACTTGAAGACGCGTGGGTTTAAAAAACTCAATAGCCCAGAGTTCTCCAAATCTGCTCTTAATCAATCCAAGACCCTTTGGGAAATTAATAAACGTATGTTTCCTGGAGCATGTTGTTTTCTTTAACAAATGAGGTATTTTAGCAAAGTAAAACATCTCGTTGAAAAGAAAGCAAAAAGAAATGTTATACCAAGTGAGCACATTACAAAAATAAAACAACTATTTCTAGATGTTATGATGAAATCCCTTTTATCACTACATCCCAGCAGCATCGGTATCCCTGAAGAGTCTCAAATTCCCTTAAGTGATCGCATTAAAAGCCTGATACTCCCAACTCTTACACCAGCTTAGTCGTGGTATTAACATTAACCATCAGTGACTCATCAGCGTGCAAAGTAACACAACAAAACAAATGGTGTTTTTACTAATATTAGCTTTAAAAAATCAGTTTCTCTGGAGATTTCTTCACATGTGCTCATGAGATCCATGTTTCAATCACAGGCGGACAGAGTGAAGACTGGTGTACACGAAACAAACCAGAGGTAAGTTCATAAAAGACACATACAAGCTGCCTTTTCACCATTTATTGTGTTTGTGGTTGAATGTGAATATTTTCTTTGATTCTTTGCCACAACAACTGTTGAAAAGGTAGCCACAAATGAATGGAGTATTCCCAGCGTTCCGATCATTACCACAACAATTATTTCCCATTTTGACGGTAAATAACCCCTTGTAGGCAAGGCATGACATCTGTGACCACATATAGTGCTATGGTGCTCGCAGAAATGTCCCCAGTCATCCTGTGTACGGTTACCATTGCAGACACAATCCATGCCATGCTGCAAGCATGATACTGCCAAGGACTTACTGGGCATTGGTCGAGTCCATACTGTACTCCTCCTGATACCTGGATGCAGCACACATGGACACAGATAGGCACAGATTAGGAGAGAGTGAAGTCGACAAAAGAGGAGAGGGAAGGAAAGGTTGAACAAGTAAATGATGCCACCGCAGTTTATCTGCATTCACTTGCATCAGGAGTCAATGCCAGCATTTTATAACATTGAGGAAGCAAACGAGCACAGTTTCTGCTGCGAGAAGGTGCAAGATGGGATCTCAAAGTATGCTAGCTATAGTTCATATTCATTTGGAATATAAAAAAGAAGAACATGAAACAACATATTGAGCACAACGGTTGATCCATAGACAGTAACTGAGATGGACGAACAAGTCTCTTTGTGGTGCTGCACACCACATAACTAATTCAAACCAAACTTTAGAAAACTTTGTCTACATTGACTTTTTGGTTTGGTCCACGTCCCAGGAGGCAGTGTTAATGACATTTCCTGCAGCAAGCCACCAGGGGGACTATCAAGATGATTTGGCTTCACGTATTGGCAGCTGTCGTCCACCTTTATATACAGTCTATAGATCAAACCCATTGTGATTGGAAATTAGGTATTTCAAGTCTTTACCACTAAAACTCTATATGCATGTTAATACAAACATGTACAATGGAAATTAATACATAATGTATTTTAAATGTTTTTATTTATTCACATGCAGGCACATGCAGTACCTACACATTGAGTTTATTAAAAAAATAAGCTCCAGTTAATGGAAAAACAAATGAGACCCATAATGCAAACCACAGGGGATCAGTGGACACGCCCTTTAGGTCAATCTCATAGGGTGCTTTATAAAGATGACCACGGAGGAGAGGGGGATGTGAACCACTGAGGGACATTGACAGACAGAGAGACATACTCAGATATTGATTTTAATGGCTAGGGGATCAGAGGTTAAACACGCAGCTCTGATGTGATGCACAACTAAATGACTTGTGCACATATGGCTACGACTTCCTTTGACAACCATTTACTGAGGATGGACTTCAGAGATTTTACAGAGCATGCAGAATGTTATTCAGCTGCTTTACAGTGGATTGTGGACACTTTCATTTCATTTTTGTCCTGTATCAAAGTAAAACCACCAAACATTCATCCAGATTAATTTCATGAATGAACCTTTTTTAATCTTGATCCAACAAACCTGTATATATGCAGTACCATAATCACATCTCTACCACACTTACTGTACCCACAGTTACTGTAAAGCCATTTAGTTTTGATTGTTGGGACTCATTTTGTCCATTTGTCCATTGAAGCGTACCATTATAGCTTTGTAAATTGAGCCTCTAGTCTTTCAAGGTCAAGCGCAATATGGCTGCTGAAAATATTTCAAGCTGAAATATCAAAAAATGTTGTATTATGTAGTTTAATTGGTTTTATTCTTGTAATTCAGAAATATTGTGTTGGTATACTATTAATATAATGAGTAAGATGCCTTCATGGTCCAAAGCACAGCTAAAAATACAAATTTCAGAAAAAGTGGATGGATAAAAATATAATTTAGGTTGATATCTCTTTGAAGCGTGCGGATGATTAAAGCCTGTCTGTTGGTCAAAAGCGTTAAATAAGAAATGGTAAAGACGGTCCTTTAAAAAGGTCATTATTTGAAAGGTACAACTGCAAACTTTATGACAAAAGAAACAACATGATCCCATTAATGCCTTTGAAAACCTACTAATGGAGTGTTCATTGCATCCAGGAAGCAGCTAGGTCACAAAAGTGGACTTCCACCTCCAGTAATTAATTAAGAACCTTTTGCCATTTCAACAGCAGTGCACAGTCAATTATTAAAGTCCCCGGGAATCAATGAAACCATCACCTGTGGGATTCCACCAGTCAAAGGGCTTTTAGTGACGCTTTCAGAATGTTTATTCAGCTGTAACTTTCTAATAATGCTGCCATTAAAACAGTACGATCTACAGAACTTTGTCCTTCTTAAGGGGTTCTTGTCTCTAAAGCTGCTTTCAGATATTCACTGAACGTATATGAGTTACTCCGTATTAGAATACAAGAGGAAAATTTGGAAAATTCACAATGAGCGGTTAAGTGTTTCTAACGTGACGGATTCAAAACTGAAAAATAAACGCAACCATCACATGAAAAATGGTCACACACGTAGAATACGATGAAGGTGTCAACCTGGAAAGACGCAGAGATTCAACAGCTTTTGGTGATAAGCAGATCACGCAGATGTGCTGCAAACAAAAAACACATGATTTCTACGTGAATGCGACGTATGTGACCTTGAATGAAGTTTTTAATCGTTATTTACACTGCATGAAAAAGCTGCTTTCCTTTTCGCAACAGACTGATGCACTGCATGTAGCAGAGTAACACTTCTGATAGCACTTAGCGCTAACACTACCAGTGTGAATCGTTGCCAACAACCCTTAATATAAGTAAGTTCACAAGTGAAACAAAGTATTAAATGATTTGTCTTCTCACCAGAGATGCTGCGCAAAATAAAAACAAGATCAACTCTTCTGCTGTGGTCTCACTGTTCGTTTGGTAGGTACACAAACACTTTAATGAGCAATAAAGATGCTATCTGGCTGCTAAGAGCTCTCTTTGCCTCCATTAGCCTCCAGCTGATACTAAAGGATTTAGATTGTCTCATCCTCAGTCTTTCCAATATAAATCATGGAAAAACAAACCTCAAAAATTAGGAACACAGCACCACAATGTCCTTGAAGTGAATACGTTATTAGGGTACATAACAAGAAAGGAGTATATTGATCCTCACCTCTGTAGCAGATGTGGATTTCCGAGTATGAGCCGAGCTACTAACACAGCAAGTGCAAAATCACCAGCACTTCCAAAGTATGCTCTGAATTACATTCACTGAGAGCTGCCTCCAGCACTGACTGATGGCAAGTGGGAGGGCGTCCCACACACACACACACACACACACACACACACACACAC